TCGCGTTGCCGTTTTTATTTGTGGGTACGTACCTTAACTCTTTGTACATGGAAGTTTAGCTATTATAGAGTAGATTGAGCTTGATTCAGCCTTATAAAGCTTAAATATAACTACTGTATTATGTTATTGCTTCACAGGGTCACTAGCTTTCAAGGAGAAATGGGGATATGGAAAAAAGAACGGTCCAGATAAATCGTCGAACACATGCTTGGTCGGAAAACGGCAAGTGGGTTTTTTTGAAATTAGATATGGTATCTGACAATAATGTTAGCATAGAATCTCTTGAAGAAGCAAGTTCCAGCACACGACGTACATAAGTACATCCCATCCCATTAGAGTTATTATGCTGAGATAATGCTGCCATTCTCTAAGGGTTTATTGGATTTCAGCGATTCTTTTGGATTCTGAAGAAAGCTTTTAACTTTTGACTAGCAAGGCTCGTTTTCTCGATTGACTCAGAAGTTTGACGAGATTCTCCTTACATCGTCAAATAACTCCTGCCAAAAAGTCAAAAGTGAACTTCCAATAACCCCACCTTCCCCAAAAGTATTGCATCGTTGCAGAATAAAAACCAATCTTTCCATTTACATACTTCTAATAATTTTAAATTTTTAGCAGACCAATGCTTCTTTCTGGTGTTTTCGGAAACTGCATTTGATTCAGTTGCAATAAATTCAAAACATGAATACATGTAACCCAAATTCGAGGGAATCGCTATAAACCCGCTGTGAATCGGGAAAGAAAACGTTAGTGTACGACTTCATGAAAATTATGATAGACTCAACGGGCCGAGATCCCATATGCGTCCACAAACAGTCGAACTTCGCATACGCTCCCACAGAAGCATATTTCAACTCAGATTCAGCTTTCTCTTAGCTGCTTTCGAGTTTTCAATCTGATGTGTTTTAAGCGAATTTTACTCGGAAATTGTCCTCAGCCACTTGAAATCTATCGCGGCGCCAATGCAAAATTTCCATTGTTTATAGACGCATACAGTGCTCCAGCGCACCCACCTTTTTGCTTTCAATCAAAAATCACTATTTCTTTCTGAGGATGTATCCACAATGCCTATATCCTCCTTAAAAAGAATGGTACAAGTTTCAAAGAGCTGCAAATGTATCTTTAAATATTAGACTAATGGAAGTAAAAATAAGTAGTGAAAGAACTTCTCTCTGAATTCTAATTTTTTGTTCGGTTTTGAAGCATGGTCGGACGAATCCTTGACTTCAAAACTGAAATAATCACTCCTAGAAAAGTTACCTGCCAAAATGGAGGCTTGAACCTGGGGGTTTGTCCGACTGCTTATTATGGGGGCCTTTAAAAAATTCTTTTGCAGCGGCTAAAAGAATTGTACGTGTACTGTTAAGGTGTGCAGCTGGTAAAAGCAAAAGTATCAATCCTCCTAAATACTTCGTGACATGTACTGAACGTCACTCAACTTTTTTTTGCCTTTAGCAGCAAATTCGAAGCTGAAGCCAAATCCGTACAGCTGCATATTGAAAAGTTCTTTCAGTATCCTGTAAATGAACAGAAATGTGGAATTTAAAATAAATGAATAGTGTTTTACCTTTTCTCAACATTAAGCTTTTCAGAGCCCCATTGATATCCATGCTTCCGACGTCGATTTCGCCTTATTGGACAAAATTCGCTTTGTAAATTACAAAGAAAGCGGTACCGTCAATATAACTAATACTGGTCATTCAAGTAAGCAGTAAAAAGCGTAAATCAAGACGTATACCATAGCAAAACTGAAAAAGAACCCGGAATAACGTATCAAACCACTTTGGGAATTCCAGTTATGATCGACGGTTTTGAAAGTTGGCATAAGAAACAGCCTTATGTCGAAAAAGGAGGGTTTCGATATAGATACCGTCTCGCCGAGCTTCATTTTCATTGGGCTCAGAACGATTCTGGTTCTGAACATGCTATTGGTGGTCTTCGTTATCCTGGAGAAGTAAGCGATAACAAGCTTTTTTAACCTAAACACATGGATTTCTTAAAGATTCATCTCGTGCACTATCGTCATAATCTGAAAGCGTCAGAAGCAGCTAAAACGCCAGGTGGAATAGCTGTTCTTGGTGTTTTTCTCATAGTTGAAAAAGAGAGTAAACCAACCCCAGAAGTTTCATTGGTACTA